GCTGTATCTCTGCAATTTATGCTAACAAAATAGAACCTAGGGATTTAGATCTTACCACTTTAGATCATCTAACACATCGTTTTGCAGATGAACAAAAAATAAATAAATATATAAATACATTTATATTTATATTTATAAATAAATAAGCTTCCAGATCTGTTAGAAATAGCTAGCGAGCTGGGTGGTCTACAGCTGAACCAACAAAGGTCTCTTCTATTTTGCAGGTTCATGCTGAACGTTAATGATCTCTGTTTATTCTGACGAGCATTGTTTACAGAAACACAAACAAACAACATTAGCAGCTACCCGCTCTGATTACACAACACATTTTGTGTAATTATTATAACAAGACTTACCAAGTTCACTTGATTTTTCAACACATTTACAGTGGTCTCTTGTGTAATTAAATGCCTTGTAAGTCGATCTCTGTGGGGGGGAAAAAAAGCTCTGGTGCTCCTGCTTCAGGAACTAGAAGTGAGGCAAAAAGTTGAAAGTTGAGCATCGTTTAGCTTCAGACAGCTGGTTTTGGAGTCTTATTTCCTGATATTCGGTCAACTCAACTCTACCACTGTCTCAGTTTGCTCTGCAATGTTGAACTCCACAAATAACACAAGACTGAAAGAAGTTCTGCTGTGTGGTGGAGTTGCTAAAGCTAACGGTTAGCTTCTACTACCTGAGATGTGCGCTGCTCTCTCCTGGGTGTATGGGTGAGTCCATGAATACTAATTATGAAGTGCTAATGTCACTGGCTTTTCTAATCCTAGTGGCTCACTTTTTTCTATTGGCAACTAATGTGGGAAATAGGTGTAGAAGACTATTTTTATGTTCAGCCTGCATGTTAAACTCAGATTTATTCATATTTCAAAAAGGAAAAAATGGTTTATCTGTGAACTTGGCCTTTAAAAATTGCATTGCAGTTAACGCAACCATTATACTGTAAAATGTTAAATAACATTACTTTTACATTATAGTTATGTGCACCAGACATGCTGAAATTTGCTGCTGCTGCTAATATTTATGCAGGCGTCACATTAATTTACTATACTCTTGTGACCTTAGAGGACAAAAACACCCACGTGTAAAGATTGTTTTAGGAAATCATTGCTCTGTTAAACTTCAGCCCTGCTCAAACATACAAACTTCCATCATTTTGAGGATTTAAACCCTTCAAATGCCGGTTTGATGACTGACAGTCATTACTGTAATTCATGAAATAGACTCAAAAATGAGTTATTTTTCATTTATTTATTTATTTATTTATTTATTTATTTATTTATGTATTTTATTTATTTATTTAATTATTTATTTATTTATTTATTTATTTATTTTTTCAAAAAAAAAAAACTTTCTGTCTGGTGCATTTATTATAAATCAGTCTTGTTATGTTATGAAATATCTAAAAAAATTGTTTTAACAACAGTTTTTGTGTCAGAACAGATTCAAATTGTACTTATGATTTGAGCGGAAAAAAGTTTTTGATCCTGTAACATCTGCAGCAAGTAATCACACTTTCCGTTATATTAGGCTTTCATTTTGAAAAACGTTCATGATTTTTACTGTTCACCACCAAATTCAGTCATTTCTTCATTAGCAGCATTTGTGAGAAAATCTACAGATTTCTTTAGATTATTTTGCTGTTAATGCAAAAATGTTAATATTTGAATAAACTGTTTGAAATTGAAGCCTTTAAGGCTGCTGAGCCCGTTTGAATGCAAGTAAGGGATGAAGAGAAAATATGTTACAGAGCTGGAGAAGGATGGCAAACAGCCATCTTATCAAACACATGCAGTTTCTGTCTTCTCAAATAGTGTCATCCAGTTTAGCTCCATTTGCAAAGACACGATTCATTACATTACAAAAGCAAATGCAAAAACACGATGACGGTAGTTCAGTACTAACTGAGAATCAGCGGTGCTTTGATCATATCAAGGTAAACTATCCTTTTTAAACAACACACAATCATCTGGGAGATATCCCTCACCGTGTGTTAGACATAATGTGTTTTTGTTTACATCAGAAGCTCCAAAAAGCTGTTGCAGTGAAAAATAAAAGACAACTGCCAGGACTGATAGTCGTGGGGTTACTGTCAGATCTGCTGTGATGGCACACGATGATGCACCGTGGCTGGTTTCTGACACAATTCCTGAGCACAAAATCATTTTGTTCTGCTTGGATGACTTTGAAATGCTGTTTGCACAGTTGAAGGTCTTCTTTTTAACAAAAATAAAAGAGTCTAATGTGTTTTTTCTTTTACTTTTGTTCAGTTTTATCATTCAGTATCCAAAACAGAATGAGTTTATTCTATTTTATCACTTTATACTGCCAGTATTATCCCTACTGTTGCTCATTTTATGTAGAGAGGAAATCTAATACCATAGCCGACGGTGATCCATTTCAGATCTTCATGCATTAATTCATTAGAAACAACATTTTCTTACTTCATTTGAAGGAGAATTGAAGGCTAATGCTTGATGGTTGCTGGTATATTTAGTGTGTGTGAGACCTACTGATGGCTGTTTATTTTACAAAACAACCCCCAGACAGGCGCTGATGTGATATGATCAGTCAGTCAATATAAACCGATCAACCTCAGTGTTGAAATTACTGACAGGAAAAAGGAAAATAATTGATTTTGTCATTCAAATATCCTGCTCTGCTGGGAAACCTTGTGTCTTTTGCACATATGTTGAATCCACAGTTAAACATTGTAAGTAGTGCTTAGTCACATAAATTAAGGAGAGAAAAAAAAGAAAAACACATCTTGAGGATCATGATAAAGAGCTCACCCCACAACCACAAGGCAGCATCTGACCAGCACTAATTTTATTCATTTAGCAGCACAACACTAAATATGCAGTGACAAGAACCTGCAGGAGATGGGTTGCCTCCTGTAGTCTGAAGCAGTTAGTTTAGTATTACATGAAGAGACAGATCTGAGGCAACTAAAACCTGCGATCTCTTAGAACAAGTGCCTCATTTTACTGACTGGAAAACAGCTCAAGGTGACCAGATTTAAGAGCATGATCAGACCAAATAATGTCTGAACTGGATTTCTATTTTTTTCTTTCTTTAAAAGGAAATGATAAATAAAATCTATGCACGGGTTTTATTGCAAGTATGAAATAAATGTAAGATTTACATCACGTATCATGCAAGCATGGTCACAAAGGTGCATAGAAGATCAAACAGGTTCATTTAAGGTGACTTAAAGAGATGCTTTCGCCATTTAGAAGTGTTTGTCAGCATAATGACCAACTTTTCTATTTTTTATTTACTCCAAAATCTGATTTCTAATAAAGAACAAGTCTATTTTTTAGACATTTTATCTTATTTTTAGTCTAAAAGAAAAAAAATATTCTCTAGAAAAAAAGTTGCTTGGCTAGAAATCTTAAAGGTGCAGTATGTAAGAATTTAGTGAGACTTTTACAGTAAGAAAATTCCAAAAGAGTCTAATGTTTCACTCATTTGGGAAGGAAGGTTATGAAACATATTGCATACCCAGCTGGCTGCAGGGATTGTCAGTTTTTTCTCCTTTCAAAATAAAGGAAGGAGGTAACTACTGTTTACCATCAGTGAGTGTGGGGGTGCAGTCTCCTGTGAGCTAATACTGCAGCGCCGACAATTGTAATTTGATGATGGCCGGCAAAAAGCTCCAGAGTTGTTAAATGTGGTCGAGATAACTAAATGTTACCACAAGATGTAATTTTACTTCATTTCTATATAATGGACCTTTAAAACTAGCTAAATAATCTAATTTTAGGTTTATTAGCTAATTTACGACTTCAAGCCAAGCAATTTTGTTTATCCCGTTAGCAGATTTCTTTACTCAAAACAAGACAATCTGAATCATATGACTATTTACCTTGTTTTATATAATGCAATATTTCTAGAGATGAATTAATTTTCTTTTTCGATTAAAGAAAATATAAAACGTCTAAAAATTAGCATTTGTTTTACTTAGTTAGAAATCTTTATTTATTTATTTTTTTGTAGTGTTACCTTCCTGAAAGGCAAAACAGTCCCACAGGACTGATGAGTTAACTGCTAGTCTGAGCACAGCCATAACCAGAGTGGATGACTGCCATCCTAAAGTACAACCCACTCCTCAACAATTCATAACAGTTCTTAATGTGATAATTTATCAAAAATTTTATTTCTATCAACTGAGCAATCACTTTTCTTCATTTTCATGACCATGATCATTGGGAGATTCTCACTGAAGGCATCAAAACTATGAATGAACACAGGTGGAGTTATGTACTTAAAGGTGAAATAACTGAAAACATGTTTAATATTCTATTTTCTTCAAAATAGCCAACCTTTACTCTGATTACTGCCTTGCACACTATTGGCATTCTCTTGAGCTTCAAGAGGTAGTAACCCCAAATGGTTTTCCAACTGACTTGATGGAGTTCCCAGAGGTGTTTAGCACTTGTTGGCCCCTTTGTAAACGGTCATGGTCATGAAAATAACAAAACACACTGAATGAGAAGGTGTGTCCAAACATTTGGTCTGTACTGTAAAAGATTCATGTTCAGTAGAAAATTCTCAGTTGTCATTAATGTAAATGTTTCTAAGGTAATGTTCACGTAACCTGTTGTGAAAGTTCAGAAATGGAAGCTACTGAAGAACAGCAGCTATACAGTTTGGCATGTGCTCAGGCTAGCCATTAGCTAACGCTAACCCTAGTCACAGCATGTAAAATAAGTGTACCAGAGAAAGACTTGTGATGCTTTTTCTTATCAGAGTTTACAGCTGAATTAAAACTCCCCTTGTTCACTAGTCGAGGAGCACAGGTCTGAGACTGCAGCCAAATGAGAAACTTTTCCAAATCCTGCAGCTTTACCTGATGACACAGTGATAAGTTCAGGGTTGTGGTTTTCTGGTGATAGTATAACAGACTATTTAAACACGATATCCTAGGATGGGATTTTTGTCTACGCTTGCAAACATTTCAATATTTAACTGTAATTGTAACTATTGACTGTCTTGTCTTGCAGGGCCCCTCCCTGGCCTTCATCACTCACAGCTAATGGATGTCCTTACCCAGTATGGCTACAATGACAGTTTCTATGAGAACGGAACATGGAGCTACAACGAAACAGAACAGGAGCAGAGGCGTCCGTACAACTACTACGCCATGCTTCTCACTCTTCTCATCTTTGTCATTGTATTTGGCAATGTGCTGGTGTGTATGGCAGTGTCCAGGGAAAAGGCTCTGCAGACCACCACCAACTACCTGATCGTCAGCCTGGCTGTCGCTGACCTTCTGGTGGCCACGCTGGTGATGCCCTGGGTGGTCTATCTAGAGGTAGGATCTCACACACACACACACACACACACACACACACACACACACACACACACACACACACACACACACACACACACACACACACACACACACGCACATGCACACGCACACGCACACGCACACACACACACACACACACACACACACATACACACACACACACACACACACGCACACACACATACATTCAGCCATATTTCTTTGTAATGAGTCATAAAACCAGACATGTCTTGTGCAATAAACATGCTCTTCTTCTTCTGTGTGCATTCATAATAGTATTTTCTCCATGTTTTACTGCTGTAGAAAACAAAATACATAAAAATACAGCGACTGATTAACAGAGAGTCAAGCTTTCAAGCCTGACAAAAACACTGGAACAGCTCTCATTTCCATTATCACAACTGTGTGCATAATTTGCAAAACATTAGTGTAGGCTGTAAAACTATCTCTTGGAGCAAATGAACTTTAAAGAGTTCATAGAGGTTAAAACACAAGTAAAGCATGATATCTTCACAAAGGGAATCTGGATGAGAACCGGTGCCAATAAACTAGTGGAAAAACGGTCTGGAGGAAGAAAGCTGCTTGTGAATTGTCTGTATCTCAGAGTTGCACGATCTGCCATTCCCATATTGGTTACAGTCATGGATCACCAACATTTCTCTGGCAAAATACCAGCTTTGTAACTTTCTAATCACATTGCTGTTATCAAAAGGCTGCAATGCTTATGCTTCAACCAGAAATAGCTGGGATCCCAATTCTCTGCTGTTGTTCTGTGAGTCAGGAGCTGGATAGTGTGGGAACCATTGTTCTAGATGTGTAATGATTTAGTGTCATAGGCAGGGCCCATGGGTGCAAGCAAGAACAGCAGCTGCAGCCAGACAAGTAAAATCCATAGACTTTAATGGGGAGGAACCGAAAATGATAGAGAAAAAGAGATGGTATGACAGGAACAGATTAAACAAATTTGCAACAGGAGAATCTGGCAAAGAACAGAGAACAAACATCTGGCAACTTAAGAGCCAGAAATCCTCACAGAGGCTTGTTTCCTAAATGTAGACTAGGTGGGATAATTACCAAATGCAATAAAGGTGATGAGCTGAGAAACCAAAGGGAACTGCAGGAAACAATGAATGGGAAACAAGAAGCCAGACAATACAAATTAAAGTGAAAATAACACTACAAAAACCTATGACTTCTAATAAGTATTTTAGGAGTTAATATTGTACTATGAAGTTCAGTTATTTGCCAGCTAATTGGATTTACACCTTTCTTCAGACTGACCACAACCATGGACTAGGTCTCAGAAAGCTAACAGTGGCATGGAGTTATGAAGATATGACAATCTTAGGACAATGAAATGTTGGGGCTCTAAGCCTGAAACTAATATAATCATTACACAGTGTTTGTGTCACGCTGAGCCAGGAGGAGGTTAGGACCCAAGATGCAGAAACCCAGAACGACACAAGGCAGGAGCAAAATCAAAGTAAAATCCTTTATTTAGGAAGAGAGTCCAAAATTCAAAAATCCAAAAAGGGCAGGAAGCCAAGCCTAAAGTCAGTAACCAGACTGACAAAGACAAAAAGCTCTTTGATGAGCAAAACCTAGAGTTTCATGAGGAGGAAAAGAACAACACTGACAACGACAATGGACCGACAAACACTGAGGCACAGACAGGGTTATATACACAGGTCTGGTTGATAGGAGACGAGGAGCAGGTGCGTGGGGAATTGGGCACAGGTGAAACTCATGAACTGAGGGAAGAAGCAGAAATAAGTAAAAGTAAGTAAGTAAGTAAAAGTTTATTTTTAGAGCACCTTTCACAGATATAAATCACAAAGCGCTGTACAACATGATAAAGATCAGGGCAAATACCTCTAACCAATAAAAACATCAGAAAAACAATAGCAGTGATAAAATAGTAAATAAAATCATGAGTATAAACAAAGTGAAGGTGTGAACCCAAACAAAGCCATCTTTTTGAACATTTAGGGAGGGAACGCCTGGATGAAAAGGTGAGTTTTTAGATGATTTTTAAAGACCTCTACAGTGTTAGAGAGACAGATATTTGAAGGTAGACTGTTCCAAAGTCTGGGTGCAATAGTCTGAAAGGCCCTGTCCCCTTTGGTTTTCAGTCTGGTTCAAGGAACAGCCAGGAGGTTTTCAGATGTGGATCTAAGGTTCCGTGAGGTGGTGTGTGGGGATAAAAGCTCAGATAGGTAGCTTGGAGCCTGGTTGTTAAGAGCTCTATAGGTCAGGACTAAAACTTTAAACTGTATTCTATTATCTACCGGGAGCCAGTGGAGGGACTGTAAAACTGGAGTGATGTGAGCTCGTCTGCTGTATTTGGTTAGGAGGCTGACTGCTGCATTTTGGATGGCTTGAAGGCGTGAGAGGGAGGTTTTGCTGAGACCAGTAAAAAGAGCGTTACAGTAGTCTAAGCGTGAAGACACAAAGACATGGATGATTTTTTTCCAGATCTGCAGTAGAAACCAGTTTACGGACTTTTGAAACGTTTCTCAGTTGAAAGAAACAAGAGCGGGAGATGGTTTTGACGTGTGAGTCTAAACTTAAAGCTGGATCAAAAATAACTCCAAGGTTTCTAATGCTGGCCTTGGCTGATGGGCAATAAGAGGCAATTTCTTGCTCAATTTTTGGCTGAAGTTCCGGGGGTGCAGCGATCAGGGTCTCTGTCTTGTTAGCATTGAGGACAAGAAAGTTGCTGGACAGCCAGTTACTGATCTGGGTCAGGCAGAGTACAAGTGTGGCCAGCCTGTCCAACTGGTGTGGCATAAAGGACATACAGAGCTGAATATCGTCAGCGTAGATGTGGTAGGAGATGTCTAGGAAAGACTGAATGATGCCAGCTAGGGGAAGAATATAGAATGCGAATAGTAGAGGCCCTAGAACTGAACCTTGTGGGACCCCGCATGTTAGAGAGGCAGTATCTGAAGAGAAGGTTTCGGACTTCACTGTGAATGTTCTGTTGGTGAGATAAGAAGAGAGCCAGTCTAGAGCAGAACCTGAAATCCCGGCCAGAGCCTTTAACCTGTTTAGTAGAACGTTGTGGTCTACAGTGTCAAAAGCTGCACTGAGGTCAAGCAGGACCATGACAGAGCATTTCCCTGCATCAGCAGCCATTAGGAGGTCTTTATGCACCCTTACTATAGCAGTCTCAGTTGAGTGCTGCTTCAGAATGCCAGATTGGAAGGGGTCAGAGATCTTTGACTTAGGAAACCAGGATCTGAGTTGGGTTTCAACAACCTTCTCAAGTACTTTACTGATGAAAGGTAGTTTAGAAATGGGCCTAAAGTTACTGGTGGAGCTGGCGTCAAGGTTTGATTTCTTTAAGAGAGGAGTCACTACTGCATTTTTAAAGTAAGATGGAACACAGCCTTGGCTCAGTGAGCTGTTGATTATAGTCAACAGAGATGGACTGATAGAGGCAAGGGACCCGACTAAAACAGAGGGAGTTAAAGAGCAAGTAACGTCTAAATTAACTTTTTTTTTGCTGATGAACTGTATAAATGAGTGTCTAATAGTGTTTTAAATGTGTGCATTCTTTATTTTAGCATTTTGCTGCATTTTCTTTAAAAATAAAAAATTCTGTCTAAAAACCACAGTAATGCGCCACCTTCAGCTGAAAACATAGAATTTGAGTCATTTTGAATAAATTTTAGCCAATGGCTAAAGAGTAAAGTACTACGTAAACCAGTAGAGTACTACGTAGCAGCTCCGTGCCAAAGTTATAAAAGCAACGAGCGTCTCGGCCACGCCCTGTGGCGAGTGGGAGTTGGATTTGCAAGCGAGCGTAGGAGGTCAGCGGTAGTTCAGCATTAGCATATAGCATTAGCATATCCTAGTCTTTAGCATATCTTTTAGTGTTATAAATACTTATTTAGTGTTAGCTTGGCTGTTGGATATTGTAGTTTAGTTAGTGTTTGGCTGTTAGTGTAATTGGGAAAGTATTTCGGGTTTAGTGTTCCATATCGTCTTAGTATTGGTGAGTAGGTGTAGTGTAGTATGCTTGCGGTGACTCTGTGGGCATTTTACCCGCGATTCTGCATGTCTCCGTTTGAAGAGGGAGGCTGCCCACCGTGGCTCTTCCGCGATTTAGATGCAGCCCACCGACTCTGCTCCCCCACCACGGCGGGCTCCAGTCTGAGGTGAGTAAGCTAAATAAACGTTTTAACATCTTCTAAAGACAATTCCCTACCTAAATGCAAAGTCTGAGAGATGTGGTTCACTTCCTTTAGCTAGTCAGTCGGCAATTCTGCAACAGTGTCTCTAACTGACGCAGCACTAGTTGACAGACAGCATTACAGCGTGAAATCCAGCTTGTGAACAGGTTCTGTGAGGAATTCTGTTCAGGAGGTCACATTTCAGGCTCTCCACATCATGTGTGACTGACTTTTACGTTATAACGATCACACACTAGGAATGTTATAAAGCGCCTATATAGGATATTCTTTTGTATATTATCTGACTTTATAAACTCCCAACAACAATGTGCTTCTATTTTTTTTTCAGGCTAAATCTACCCAAGACACTGGCTGTCAGACTGATTTAGCTGCAAGAATACACTTGTCCAGGCAGACGTGAAGCCTTACCTGTAGCAAAGGTGAATTATTTTTAATAATCTTCTATGTAAACATTTTATTACCTTCTAGTTTTAATTTGTTTTACAGATTATTGTTACACGTGATTTTATGCTCTTTTAAACATTTATAAATGTGCTGCTTCTTTGTTTTTACATAGCCAGCCAGAATTGAGTTCACAGCCGCAGTGTGTCTGGTGACCCACGGGGACCATGATGAAAATTCATCTTCCAGAAAGTCCCAGAGCATCCACACCCCCTGAAAAGACCAAGATGTGAGGTGTCTGCTGTTGATTCCAGCTTCCACCTCAGTGACAGTGCAAGCTCAGTGAACTGTTCAAGGTAAAAAAAAATTAAAACATTTCAGAATTTTTAAGATATTAACAATTAAATAAGTATGTGATTACATCATGACGGAGGCTACTGATTCTGCCCCGTGACACTTGGTGGTGACGTGTGAGCTGATTCACCTGGAAAATAACTTTTACATTAAATATTTTGTTTTTGCTATCAAAAGTAAATTAACTAATAACCTGCATTATTGCAGGACACTCAGCAAAATATAGACTCTACACCATGAGTCAGGCACACGTTAATATTCTATAAAAGCACATAAGGTGAGCAACACCACATATTGTACACTGTCCTGAATTTGTTCTTTCTGCATCTCATTAGCCTGGCTGATCACCTGATAACTCCTGCCATCTGGTTATGACAGCATGAGGATGTCCTCACACACCTGTAACCTATCAGCTCATCTGGCAGAATAGAGAGAGAAGAGACAATACCACATCTCCTGTTCCTGGAAAGCCTTCAGCCATCCTTCGATGACTGAGAACCTCCATCAGCTCTGTCTCCTGTCTGCCTACAATTATTATAATACATATTGTGTTTGACAAGTTTTTTGTGCTGCCAAATATCTCATTTAGATTCCAGTTTTGATATTTTAATGGATATTTATAAATTACATTGATTATCACATTTTTGTTGCATGCTTAACTAGCTCTATTGTGATGAATTAAACTAGCACCTCACTGTTAAAAGCTCGTTTTAATTTCAAGCATGTTTAAGTATTTATGTACATGAACAAAAACAGGAAATATATAAATTGAGATTTATTTAATTAATATAACAAATAAGGGGGAAAGAGTCATTGAAAGGCACATTCTTCTGGAAGCTCCTGATCCTGACGACACCAGACCAGCTGCAGACACCAGAGGACCTAGAACTGAGAGAGCAGCTGTTATTAGTAAATAAATAAAGAAATCAGGGCAGTTTTAGTGGGCTGAACACATTACAGAATAATTTTCTCATGGAGTATTTTCATAACTTTATATGCAGCAGACTGTAACTTGAGCCCAGGGCTACCGGAGAGCTGCTATCCAGGACGTTTCAGTGGATTTTCCTGCTTTAACAGGTTAGATTAGCTGTTAAGCAGCTCAGCTATTTGTTGCTGATTAAAACCAGGTGTGCTGAAGCAGATAAACCTCTAAAACATGCTGAATACTAGCTTTTTAGGGTCGCGGAGCCAAACACTGCAACTAATCCAATGCTAGGGCTAAATGCTACTTACCGTTCAGAGGTGGTTCTGTTGGGTAGGTTCTGGGAGTTTCAGGCAACTCACAAGCTCAAAACAATAAGACTCAGGTCCGCTTGTCTCCTCCAAATAGACTTGGTCCCTTTCTTCTCGAGTGTCTGGGTAAGGAGGTGGAGAAACGTCCTCCACTTCTAATAACTGCTCAGAGTGACGGGAGCTAGCTTCGTCTAGTTAGCCATCGTCTTCGTCACTGCCGCGGCTCCGCCCTCTCGGTCCTCCAGGCAACGCCTACTAATGTTGCATTTTTTAAAATTGATACGTGGGTGGAGAAGGACTCTGAGGCTCAATTGACCCGCTCTTTAAGATATCTGATGAGCATGATGAGAGTTTCATCTGACTGATTATTGAGGTTAAGTCATTTAGTGTAATAGGGGAGAAGGAGGTGAAAGACTCGGAGCACTGAGGGGCCTCCTCGCTGACAGGGGGAGCTGGTGGAATGCTGGATCTCAGATTTAACACCTTGTTTGCAAAAAAGTGGAGAAATCTGTTACAGTCATCAGCTGAAGATAGCTGAGCCTGCTGCGGAGGAGAAGAAACGATGCTGGAGATGGTATCAAACAAAACCTTAGGATTATTCTTATTTTGGCATATGAGGTTGCTGAAGAAAGAAGACCTGGCATTTTCTACAGCTTTGTTGTATGACTCGAGAAGTTCTTTAAAATATTCGCGATGAACAACCAGACCTGTCCTCTTCCACCGTTGTTCCGCTTTTCTATAGGAGCGTCTAAGTTCAAGAATCTGGTTGTTCAGCCAGGGTGAACTGGAGGCACTGGAACTGGGGCTGGTTTTGTAAGGAGCGACCTGATCTAGAATTTTGAGGCAGTGATCATTAAATGAGTTAGTAAGGAGCTCTACGTCATCAGAGGAAGGAGGTACAAAGTCAAAGAGGGAGGAGAAATTTAAAATGGGAGAACTGTTGATAATACGTCTTAGCAGAGTCTGGTAAAAGAGATTGAGAATTTAGGTTAATATGAAAAGAAACTGACTTATGATCACTGAACACAACATCATTTTCTGCAGCTTATCAACAAGAAGTCCGTAGGAAAAGACCAGATCCAGGGTGTGGCCTGTTCTGTGAGTGGGACCAGACATGTGTTGAGAGAAGTTAAAAGAGTTCATCATGTTTAGGAACTCCCTAGTGGAGCTGTTAGATAGATCCTCAGCATGGATGTTGAAATCTCCAACAATGATTATCCTGTCTAGTTTAATAATTGAAGATAGGAGGTCCTGAAAGTCAGACAGGAAGGATGAAGTAGATCCAGGTGGGTGATAGACCAGAATTCCATAAACTGGTTGAACTCAACCAATTTTAATCATGATCATCTCGAATGAGCTGTAGGAGTTTGAGGATATAATTTGGCATGAAAAGTGTTTCATAAAGATAACAGCTGTTCCTCCACCACAGCCTGTGGTTTGTGGAGCAGAGAAGAAAGAGCAGTCTTGAGGACAGAATTCACGGAGATGAGTGACGTCATTTTCGCGCTGCCACGACTGAGAAATCCACAAAAAGTTTAATATTTTGGTGCAGAACAGATCGTTGAGGATGTGAGACTTGTTGGCGATGGAGTGCGCATTAATTAACATCATTCTCGCAGAGGAATCTGGCGATGTGTGTGCCGCGGGCTCCATAATGGCGGGCGGCTGGCGGGCTAAGCTACATAGCGACTCCCGGCTACGCCCGCGGAGGTTCTTTGTCTCCCACGCCTTCAGGTAGCGTCCTGCATCAGGGGCTCCATTGAGCAGCGAGATCAGCCCAACTCCATTAAGTTTGTGTTGGATCCGTCACAACACAGCTGCAGAGCAGCGATCGGGCAGAGCTTCGCCTCTCAGGATCTTTCAAAGCTGAACGAAGAAGCCGGCTCTCTTCCCCAGTTTCCTCTTACATGGCCTCCTGGGCAGCGGCAAGCCGACAGTTAACAGAGGGCCGAGACCTGGGTTAACGCCAGTTTCCAGAGGCGGTGGGAAAGCGGGTCCGGTGTCGGAGTTCTGGAGGTTGATCATCGCGGACCTGATCGACAACAGTAAGTCTCGATCATATGTTAGCAGGGACTCCGCACCAGATAAAGAAGAAACAATAAAAAACACCAAATAACCAAAAAAGATCAGGAGCCTAGCAAACGGACAACCACTCATGGGCGCCATCTTGCTGATTTGATATTGAAATAATTACAATCAATATCTATATTGATTGAAATAAGCAGGGGAGAAAACCATATCTAAATCTTAAACCAAAGCTACTAAGATAACCTGAACTTTAAACACTGTAAAACATTGTTACGGCCACCGCCGTTTTGGAGCCCAGTGGTGTGTTGCACTCCATTTTCATGACCAGCAGTTCAGCAGCGCAGCACCTTGGACAGCTCTTCCTTGGGAAGCTGTCTTACTTCAGGACCATGGACAGCGCCAGAGCAGCAGTCACAGCCAGCTGGGACTTTTCAACTCATCAGCTGGCCCTTCAAAAGCGGCCAGCTGGAGCTCATCAGGGGAGACAAATGTTTGTAGGTTAAAGCAGCAACGTGTGTTCCTTACCCTTGGTGGTTATCTTGGTCTTGTGGTTTAAACCAAGTTGTTGTGCTTAATTCTTGTGAAGAAGTAACCTTAGGACTTTTTGTGTTTGGGATAATTTGAGTTAGAAGGTAATTTTGGTTTGGTGAGTCTTTTAGACTACCTTTGGTGAGTTACCAGGTGGGGTTTAGCCCTTTTGGAGTCTCGGTTTCCCTTTTTAAATAGAAGAGCTATTTAGGATTTTTGTTTTTTTGACAACTTTAGTTACTTTAGTGCCTTTTGTTTGGTTTGTCTTTTAGACAAACCTTTGTTAAACTACTTGGTGGGGATTTTGCCCATTATCTTAAGTTCCAGTCCGCTTTATTTATTTTAGGATTTATAGTGGTTGGTCCTTAGGACATGTTTGGGTTAATTAATAATTTTTACTCGGTTAATTTCTGGGTAAGGGTTTTTGGCCCTTTCTTTTGGTTTTTCTTTTCTTTTTAATGAAACCGTTGTAAAGACAAGGCCACTTTGAGTTTGGTTTTATTTCGTCAAGCCTTTTTCTCCCCCATTAGGGTTACTTTGCGTTATACTCGTCCTTCTTATGTTTATTCCCCTCTCCTTCCTAGCAGAGCCCACAGAGGGGTGTAACAAACATAGACTAAATTAATTAACTAATGATAAGTGAAGTGACTAAAGGGAAACCTGAAGAAGCTGGGGACCAAAAGGGGGCACAGAAGATTAGGGGACACATGAGGGGAACCAGGAGGAGGCTGGGGACCACAGGGACACAGAATCTGAGGGGACACCTGGAGGGAGAACAGGAGGGGGCTGGGGACCACAGGGACACAGAACATGCCATATGAGTAATGGGATCAAGGGTCAAGGTTAAAGTGTTCGCATCAGATTTGTAAACAGCTGTCCTGCAGTGCTCAGGGGTCTGTGATGCAGCTGATGCGTGACAACAGCGAAATGTCAGGCAAGGCTGTTTTATCAGAGGTCAGATGTTTAATGATATTTCTACACAGTTCCTGGACTCATCATCTTACAGTCAGCCCAGAGGCATAATTCAGACCATTTTTGTAAAATACGTTAGTGTCAGCCCGAAAATGTAAAAGCACACAGAGACATGGTTCAACCATAAAAATCAATTCAAGCTGGCCTAATCAATAAAAAGCAGGATGGACAAAGTACATTTTTTCTATCTTTGCTCATTTTTAGTATCTATATACTCTGTCCTACGGCTATTTCAAACCATTAGGTTTTAGGCCAGACTGTAGGATGCAGAAAAAGGCCATTGAAGCTGGATTCTAGCCCTCCTGTGTCTTGCAGTGAGTCATGGTGATTATCTACAATACATCTATAGAAGGTTGTTCTCTTGTTGTTTTTCTTTCCCTTGATCAGCGTCAGGACACCTACACCTCAGACTGAAATGGCTCTAACTTATCTAGCTGAGTCAGGTGGATTAGGGTGTTCACACTGTTTTTATTCTAATTTATTTACTTGTTTTTGTTGTTGTTGTTGTGGACAGTTGGTTAAACACAGAGGAGGAGACACATCAAAGAAAATTGTAACAAAAGAGCTGATTTCAAATCAAATCACTTTTATTGTCACGTCACATGTGCAGGTACACTGGTACAGTACATGCGAGTGAAATTCTTGTGTGCGAGCTTCACAGCAACAGAGTTGTGCAAAAATACAGTAACGTAAAAACAAGCAAAATATAAAAATGGCTAATCTAAGTAATAATATGTATACTATGTAAGGTATGTACGTTACTGAATGTGTGTGCTAGTATGTTTTCCTACGTGTGTGCGTGTGTGTATAGTGTGTATATACATGTTTTACAAATGAATAAAGTATACAATAAAATAATAAAATAAGATATATAAAATATACAGAGGTTGGTATGTGCAAAACAGTGGCATTAATGTACAGTATGGAGTGTGTAATGTTGGAGTTTCAGTAGTGAGGGTGAGGTGTCTGCGAAGTGTTTAGCAGTCTGATGGCCTGATGGAAAAAGCTGTCTCTCAGTCTGCTGGTTCTGGACCGAATGCTGCAGAACCTCCATCCTGATGGAAGTAGTCTGAACAGTTTATGGCTGGGGTGACTTGAGTCCTTGATGATCCTCTCTGCTTTTCTCAGGCACCACTTCCTGTAGATGTCTTGGAGGGAGGGAAGCTCACCTCCAATTATCCTTTCAGCACACCGCACTACTCTCTGGAGAGCTTTGCGGTTGTAAGCGGTGCTGTTGCCATACCAGGTGGAGATGCATCCAGTGAGGATGCTCTCAATGGCACAGTGATAGAAGGTCCTGAGGATGCGGTGGCTCATGCCAAATCTTTTCAGTCTCCTGAGAAAGAAGAGGCGCTCCTGTGCTTTCTTCACTGTATTGTTCGTGTGCATTGACCACGGAAGATCCTCAGCCAGATGAACACCAAGGAAACGGAAGCTGCTCACCCTCTCCACAGTATCGCCGTTGATGGTGATGGGGGTGTGTATTCCTCTGCACCTCCGGAAGTCCATTATCAACCCCTTTGTCTTTGTGACGTTGAGGCTGAGATGGTTGTCTTGACACCAGTGGGTCAGGGCGCTGATCTCCTCCCTGTAGGCCATCTCATCATTGTTGGTGATGAGACCCACCACTGTGGTGTCGTCCGCAAACTTCACAATGATGTTGGAGTTTCTAGTGGCCGTGCAGTCGTAGGTGTAGAGTGAGTACAGGAGAGGGCTCAGCGCACACCACTGTGGTGCACCAGTGTTCAGTGGTTCGATTCTTGGCCAAATTATTTAAATCTCCAGGACGACATGACATTTAAAATGTAATTTTGAACAATTGCAGGAAAAAAATTTTCCACATCTGTTGGAAAGTTTGTTTATGAAGTGTGTTGAATACCACTAGAGGTTTCATTCAGTGTGTCATTCGTTTAATAAAGGATTGGATCACTCAATTTATTTGCAGTGGTCTCTAGTAGGAATAACTGCCTTGTAAGTTCTTCTCAGGGTAAAAAATAAACAGGTGCATCATTTCTTAGAACTAAAAGTTACCCACATCATTTCATGTTTAGCCTGCATGAAAACTCAGAGTGAGCAATTATAAATCAACACATTCTCACACCCGAAGTGGCTAAAACTGACGATGGGTGACCAAGCGTTTGTTTGACACGTTGGGAGCCCCAACGGGTCGGGAGGCGACTCGCTGTGCCAGGGCGTCGCATTCTGATGCCTACGGTAAAACAAAGATTTCACCGAATTGTGACCTTTACCCCCTTGCTATTTAACCTTCCGCTCACCCCAATCCTAACCTTAACCCACTTGCGCATGCAAAACTTTGTTTCTAGTTGTACCGTCCATCTCAAACACAGTTAACGAGAAGTTTAGAATGAGAAACTGGGTTACGGTTAGGATGGGGGTGAGGGGAACGTTGTTGTTTTCCCCACGTCATGTCTGGCTGTTAGGTAATTTCATTGTCCCATCCAGGGTTACCTGAGAGAAAGTACAACACGCAGGGGTTATATTAATAAGCCGATCGATAAACCATACCAATCTTTACCAATAAACAATTTAGACTTGCAAAGTGGAGAGAGATAAAATGATTCACACGAGTCGGTAGGCAATTCGCTCTCTCAGACAGAACCCTCAGAAAGCATTTATTAAGGACACACAAAATGGTAAAACACACACACATTTACACACATTCCTTTAGACTCTCGAAAGGGAGACAACAGGCACAGGCACAGGGCGTTCTTACTGATAAGCCAGGACTGGAAAGAGGCAAGGACAAACGCCTGTCTGTTTCTAAAGTAAAATAAACTGTATGAAGCTTTCGAAAATAAACCGGATGAAGCTTTCGTTTAAAAAATAATAAAATTATGTATCCATAATTTATCCAACAGCTGTAAAGCAAACAGAATTGATGTCTGAATGCTGGTGACAAGCCTTACAGATTTACTCTCAGTTGGAGCATCAAAGCTTCTACTTTAAAGTCACGCCTGATACTTAAAACTTTATTGTAAGTGTTATTATCAGACACGGAGTCAGAGGTGAAAGAGAAAGAAGTGGACAAAAGTTAGAGTGGGGGGATTCCACAAAAATAAATAATTCATGATGAACAAGACTCTGCTTCTACACCTGCAGAAAGAGGAAAAACTAACAAAAAAGGGACACACAGCAATACAACAGGAGCAAAATATCGCTGCGTTAACCTGATGAGGAAATATAAAATCAACATTGTTTTACTGAACAATGACACGATAATAAATCACAGTGCATTTAGTGCCAACCACAGCCTTAAGACATGTTGAAAATGCTCAAGTCAATATTTATGAGAGCACTATGTGAGCACCTGTGTGCGTACCCGCATATGCATATGTAAGGTTTCTCAATAGGAGCTTCCAATGAGGAGAGGGGAAGGTTAAATAGCAAGAGGTTAGAGGTTAAATGTCGGTGAAATGTGTGTTTTCCCTCTGCCTATGGAAATCGACACTCTGGCACCACGTGGCACCTCCCAACGCATTGGAAACAAACGCTTGGGCACCCATTGTCAGTTTTAGCCCCTTCAGGTGTGAGAAGTGTTGGAAAAATTTATTTTCAGTGTTTCACACCCAGTGGCGGCTGGTGAAAAATATTTTTGGTGGGGCTGTGCTATATTTTTTTTAAACAAACTTGTGCTTTCTGAGCTTTGTGCACAACTTCACTATTTCCTGAATTAAGCACAGCTCTTTTATTTCCTGTCTTACATCATTGGACAAACTGATTAATCCAGGTGTGTCTGACTATTGGCACGCTGCCTTGCGGACCAAGGTTGAAAAATACTGCATTAAATTGCACATAAAACAACATGACCATAAATGGTAAATAGGCAATGCAAGAGGCAAGTAACAAAACCATTTTGTTTAATTTCAACATTTGAGTAAACACGAAAAATTATGAGCAGGTCACTGTTACAGTAATGGTAGTAAACACTACTTAGACAAAATGCCAGAAATTTACACTGTTAGGACTTATGGAAAGTGGAAACACTTTCATAGGAAATAATGTCATCAGTATCCTCTTACAAATGTCATATTTCCCACTTTTTGGGACAATAAAATATTTCTGGTTCTCAATGAGATGTTTTTACTTCAAATGTAAAAACATCTCATTGAGAATCAGAAATGTTTTATTGTCCCAAAAGCTGGGAAATTTGTTTGCTGCAGCAGAAGTGTAACAAGTAAAATGGAATCAGATTGATGTATGTACAAATTTACTTGAAATACACATTTACATGATTAAATATGTATAATAGGTATGTGTGTTGAAATTAGTTTTTACAGTTATTGCACATTAAACATGTTATTAAACAAATGTCCCGGTTTGTGGGACAACCAAGGATTTCTGATTCTGATTGTCTTGTTTACAGAAATGTAATGTACAGCTTACCTCTGCACCCAGCTGCTGTTCTCCCTGTCCAAACGTCCTCCGTTTCTTTGTTGGCTGCTGCACTGATGCGCTGCATTCCTCAGTCAGAGAATGAATGGAGTCCCCAATGAGACACAAGTTCCACATCCACCTTCTGTGGATCCCAGCCGTTTTGAATAACAAACCCAGAAAGCAAAATAACGCATTAGCGTGATTGCATCCAGCTAGCCACTGCTTCCTGGTGTACCAATTTTGGGAGAAGCCTAGTGTGTACAGTTTACCCTTCTCCTTGTCCTGCTGGCTTATCTTTACGTCGGGCTGATCTGGTCCAAGCTCTTTGACATTAAGTTTTTCCACCATAGTTCTCCTCTCGAACGGATACTGGAGAGGAGACCGAACTGAATTCAGTGGCTCATGAGATCCGGTATCCATGCTGGTTGTAGGCGCACTGGCGTCCATGTCTACGTCTGCGTCATGACCGTCACGAGTCACGACCAAAAACGTGCTGGAGTCGAGACTCTCAGAGTTCTACCGAACACCAACGAAAGCCTTGGCTGTAGCTCTATCTCCCAAAATGCTTCTGAAACGTTCTGAAACAACATCGACGCTGATTGGATACATTCCCATTCCTACCCTTTGATTTTCTTGTCAGCAATTGGACAACTGGTCCCGTCTTGTTTGGGCGATTGAAAAACAGCACACAGCCTCCACCGCTCGGCAGAGACCGGCAGAGATCGGCAGAGACCGGCAGAGACCAATATAGATATATATATATGATTTATTTTTGTTACAAAACACACAATTAACTTAGAATATGTGATTATTGTTAATTTTATTTATTTATTTTTTAAAATAAAAATTAAAAACACAGGGGAAACTGGGAGGACGGCGCCCTATCGCCCTCTACTGGCCAGCCGCCACTGTTCACACCTTTAAGACATTCATTTGTTGTCAATTTCATGAAAATGTTTCCAATGTAAAAAAAAAAGTTCTTGCTGATTTGAACGTACTTGCTGAATAGAAAAGCAGAATTGTTCAAAGTGTTTTTGTCGAGAACAACCAGCAGTTGAAATTTTGCTGAGCATTGTACAAAAGGAACACATCATATGGATAAACCTGGTGGTGATTTAGCTAATCATCCAGATTATTGTGGTGCAAAAACAATCTGAAGATAATTTCAAAGAAAAATTGTTTGCAAAAAACGTTCCTATACAAAGGATTAGGGGGGAAAAACTGTGTACAATATTATGCAACTAATTATGCCTATGTATTGGCACGATTTTGTTGGCTGCACATTTTTCACATTTTCCAAATAAATGGCACCTCAAGGAGCGACTGGTTTGCTGTTTATGTTTTCATACAGAAATCTAAAGGATGACGCTTGGAATTCCTTTTAGTTCAGTAGCTTCCTTTCATCATGTGTGACTCATGGTCTTATTTGAGCAATCCTCTCATGTCTGCAGAAATATCAATACTCAATAAAGTTTTTCTGCTTAGACTAAAAATCAAAATTCATAGGCATGATGTATTTCCAAATAAGTATTTTAAGGTTTTGTTAAATTTGTGAAACACTTTGTTTATGTTTCATAGATTATTGAGCGGAGATGGAGGTAACTAAAAATACAAATGTTTTATTATAAACAAAATCAACGAGAACGAAGGGTGCTGATCCAAACTGGGCCAGGGGGGTTAACTCCGATTCTAAAACAAAAGATAACGAGATGAATACAGTAAAATGAGAACCAGGAAAACACAGCAGGATAATGGTGGAGGAATCTTACGTTGCGGAGCGGGGGTTTGAGCAGGAGAGGGAGTCAAGTCAGGTCTGAGATGGAGATTGTCTGGTGGAGAGGAGTAGCAGATAGAAGTGTACGATCCAGGACAGCTGAGCGTTGAAGAGCGGGAGGCCAGAGGAGTTGAGCGACGTTGAAAGTATGGCACACTTCAGGCAGACAGGAACCGAGGCTAGAATCCAGGGTTGGTACTGGAGCAGCCAAGGAAGATTCAAATGAGCACATAAATGCACACTATTCAGAGTTCTCAAACAGGAAAAGAATGTGGTGAGGCTAGAGTACCCAACAATACATTATCAACCGGCGCTATAGTGTGGCAACACCGCTCCTTAAATCCTCTGGCCCTGCTGATGGAAATCAGCTGCAGCTTTGACTCCGACACGCCCACCTGCAAAACACTTAGGAGCACAGCCAGCAGAAAAAAAGGCAGAACCATGACACAATTACTTTTTGCTTTACGTAAGAGCATTATTAACTAAAAAAAACAAAAAACTTATTTACGTAACTGAACCACTGCTTTATTTTATTGTCAGAAAATGGGCTAAAACTCTTGAATAAACTGTGCATCTGAGCTAAACCCATTCATCCAGTAGTATTAAACAATGAAAACTTTTCTAAAAGAGACTGACAGGGCAGAAGCACAGCTTCCGGTCAGTAACAAGATGGCGCCTGTGCTTGGCTTAGCCGCAGTCACCGGCCACTTTTTCAAACTTTTCTCCACTAACCTCCTCTTTTCCACCTTGCTTCTGTCTGCGATCCCCTCCAGTAGTGTCCCTGCTACCATCTCTTATGATCGCCAGACTCTTTTGTCCTTCCATTCATTCATGATTGCCCAAGATGCACCGAGGACGTACCTCCCTGTTTGTTTATCTGAGTGGCACACTGGCCTGGAGCCAAACGACGATTTCAACCAGGGCGCCTCCAGCGATGTTTATCCGGTCCCGGGAAAATGTCGGAGGAAAAGAGGTAAAGGAGCAGGAATCCAGGTGAGAATAAGACTTCTCCTAAAGCGTGGTTTATCTAGTAAACATCGGTGTGATTAAAGTCGAGCGTAAGGACCCGTTCTACTGTGCTGTGGTCTATCGTCTACCTGGTCCAAACTGTTTTTTCCTTCAGGAGTTTAGTGACTTTCTATCCTCCAGTGTGAAGCTGTCTAGACTGGTGATTGTTGGTGATTTTAACATCCATGTCGATGATCCCTCCGATCGTTTTGACATGAACTTCTCCACCCTTATGGACTCCTTCAGCTTTACCCAGCATGTTTCTGGCCCCACACACACACCAGGGGGCACACTCTAGACCTTGTTTTTACCCTGAGTCTAAATGCTGACAGTGTTTGTCCTGATGACGTTTATATTTCAGATCACTATTGCATTTTCTTTAACTTGTCAGTTTCTGCGTCCCCACCTCCTGCTCGCCGTATGGTTAATTCTGGTTTTCTTAATGAGAGCACACCTAGCAATTTTTCTGCTGCTTTTGATCCACCCTGTTCTTCTGATAACGACCCAGATTCCTTAACTTCTCATTTTAATGAGCACTGCCTCTCCATTCTGGACAACATCTGTCCTGTCAGAACCAGATCAGTTCCTGCAGTGAACCCTACTCCCTGGTTTAATGACAGCCTTTGCAGCCTAAAGCGCCAATGCAGAAAACCTGAGCGCTTGTGGAAGAAAACCCATCTCCACGCCCATCTGCTGCACCTAAAGGATTTTCTGACATCATTTAACTCTGCAGTCAGAGATGCCAGGGTTTCCTATTTTTCCAACCTGGTGTCCCAGACCAAAGGGAACACCAAGGTACTGTTTAACACCATCAGCAGCATTGTCTCTCCTGCCTCTCCTACAGCCTCCATCCTCTGTTGCAGACTGTGAGAACTTTCTGTATTTCTTTGTGGACAAAGTCAATAAGGTTAGATCTAGCATCTCTCCTTCAGCCTTATCGCCGCCTCTCCCGACTCCAACCAGGCCCATCATCCTAGATAGCTTTGCTCCTGTTTCTTTGCCTGAGTTAACCAAACTAGTTAACTCTATGAAGACCTCTGCATGTCCACTTGACATCTTACCCTCATCTTTGTTTAAAAGCGCTTTTCAGTCCATCGGTCCCACCATAGGCGTCATTTTAACCGGGGACGCCGGGGACATGTCCCCGGCAAAATTTGTGATTGGCAGCTGTGTCCCCCCCCCCCCCCCCCACTTTCAAAAAAGCCTGCTGATGAGGATTTTTGTTTTACCAGCTCAGATCTTATACCAGGGGTCGGCAACCTGTTCCCATTAAAGAGCCATTATTACCCGTTTCCCACAGTAAAGAAAACACCGCAGTAGCCGCAGCGTTGTGGGCGGGGACTACCCTCAGACAGCAGAGAGCTGCTCACAACCAGGTGACAGCAGCAGGTACCGGTCGCTCGCATGGACATCGCACCCGTGGGGGATTCAACACCCACACTTTTCCAGCTGTTTTGCTCACCTCCACACCAGTCTGGTTTCTTTATGTCGCACTCACTCTGTTTGCCTCATCTCCTTCTTCACCTCCCGCTTCTGACAGCTGATGTCGGGTTTCCAGGAGAGCAGGAGAGGGAGGGACGGAAGAGCTCGACTGAATTCATCATTTTACATCTTGACATTAGCTGTACAAAGTCTGAGTTTGATAACGTGAAGAACAACAATTTGCAGAGGTTTATAACAGGCGCGGCGCCAGGTTTTCATTTTTGGGTGGGCCACGGTAATTCTGGACGGACCTTAATAAGCAGTGACTTAAGTGAAGCAGGCAGGTCGCGCTAGAAAATTTCGTTTAAAAATACGTCATGAATGTGTTCCCCCGTCCTTTTTATTTATAAAATATGAAGTAAAAACTCCCAATTTAATTTTCATTCATTTGTCATTAATATGTAGTCTACACCCGTGCGTTAAGTGGACCATCTTCCAGTAAAAGCAAACCATCCAGCCCATCTCTCCAAATGCATAAATGTGCACCACAGCCGTTAGGCGCGCCGCGCGCACCGTCAGCTACATCAGCCCAGACAAGAGCAGAGCAAATAGAATAGAGGATCATTCTGTCTGGATGTGGATGGAGATTACATTTTACAGCAGCCTGATCATCATTTAAATAAAACCATCACCTGTCTTCTAGTCCACGCTATCAGCATTATTTTAATTGGTGTGTGTGTGTGTGTGTGTGTGTGTG